TTTTTTTTATAATTGGTTTTTCTAGAATCAAGATCTAAATAATATCCACATATGGCATTTGGGTAAAATATGTTTTAATTTTTTTTTAATCAGTAGGTAACCTGCTTCTTGTCTTTTTTATTCCCCCCTACCTCTTTTTTATTTGTGGTGGAAACTAAGTCATTTGTCCTGGGGAGCTTCACACATGCTGGAGTTTGCTGATTGCCTCCCTACGGTAATCTGAGTCTTTATCCTTTGAATTTCCAGTACACTGGTAGTTAGATCTGGGAGCCTGACTTGATTCAGGCTTGATATTTTTTGGATAGATGGTGTTGTACACTTCCATTAGGAGGCACACAATGTCCAGTATTCTCTCTTTTGTGACACAAACAGCCACTGATGATCATTAATGAGATCTATTATTTCAAAAGAGTTTGTGAAATGGTGAAAGTCTATCATTCTATCTTCATTTATAAGCTGGTATATTGATCACCGTTTACTCTGACATCTGCCTCTGGCTCCCAGGTGTCTCTGTTGTACATTCCCCCAGTCTGAAGGAGAGGAATTTCCCACCGAGTCAACCACCGCTGGAATTCGTGCCCCCAGCAACACCCCCTGCCAGGCACCAGTGGGTACCAGATGAGACAGAGAGCATCTGCATGGTCTGCTGCAGGGAGCACTTCACCATGGTAAGCAGCATCGGTCTCTGGTTTTACCTGCAGGAGAAAGTAAGGGAAAATTCTAGTCTGTGAGCCTGAGTTTATAGTTACCTCCTGTCCCCAAGAGGATATTGGTATTTTCAGAAGAACTGCCAAACCTAAGACTTTGGGTTTATCTTTGACCTGACCAGAATGTATTTTCTGGATTCAAACAGGTAGTAGACACCCTCAAATAGGGTTAAATTCTAAAAGTTTTGCCCTTCTTATGAGATAACAAAAGAGAGTCAGGAGGAGTCACCAAGTGTCAGGGGATCTTATTTCAAGCTCTCATGTCTTTCACAATAAGGCAGGTGACCTGGCAGTGTTTATATGTGCTAGCTCAGGAGACAGAAGACCTGGGTTTTCTTTTTTTTTTTTTT